ACTATGGTAGCTCACATCGTGGAATGGAGGAGGTGGCTTCCCATCTCATGGCCACCAAGAAGCAAAGAGAGTCAGGAAGGGGCTGGAATCCCAATAGCCCTATCCAGGGTGCATCCCAGCTAACCTAACTTTCTTTTACTAGGCCCAGACTCTTGAAGTTCCCACTATCTCCCAATAGTGACACAGGCTTGAGCCCGAGCCTTGACCATTGAGCCTAGGAGCCATTTAAGAGCCACACTTCCTTGAGAGTAGAGATCAAACACAGCCCCTCTTCCACAAGCTCTGAGCCCAGTGAGAAGGCAGGCAGCAAGACTTTAGAACTGTCAGCTATAGACTGCCTTCCCTCTGGGTGGTTTGGGCGCTCCTCCAGGGTGTGATCATGAGCTAACATAGAGCAGGAGCAGAAAAGTGAAGAGGCCAGCCCAGCAAAGGCACTGGCATAGACTTGCATGGGGCTCTGAAAACTCTCAGGCATCCTTGCACTACAGGGCTGGCACCAGCCCTACCTCACTCTGACTTTACAGACTAGAGTCCAAGTGTTTTTTTCCTACCAGTTTTGGTTCCCCTAAACTAGCCCTTGTACTGGTGGAGCATGGGGTATCCTCCAGACCATGTTGCTAATATTGGAAAAGTTGGGGCATGGTGGTACATGCCTGCAATCACACAGGAGGCAGAGATAGAAGTACAAAAACATCCGGGTCTACAGAATATGTCTAGAACAGCCTGGGATACAGGGTAAGATCCTGTCTGAAAATTCAATAAAAAAAAAAAGAAGAAAAAACAATATTGGGAAGCAAACCCACACTTTACTGTGGCATATATTTTGATTGCAGGGTCACACTATTGCTAAAATAATAATCATTTTTCTTTTTGTTGTTGTTGCTATAGACAGGGTTCCCTGTATTCCATGCTGGCTTTGAGCACCCTCTGTAACCAAGAATGACTTTGAACTCCTATCCTCCTGAATGCTAGGAGTATAAGTGTGTACCACCATGACCAATTGATGCAATATTGGGGTGCAAACACAGCTGGGGAGGCATTCTACCAACTGATCTGCATGCCCAGATTCAGAATCACCACTACTCTTTAAGGAAAAAATCATACTGGATCTAGGCCTTGTTTCAGGTCCCACCTCCTCCTCTCTGGCAATGTGGCCTGATGGACTCAGTCTTTCTGCTCTTTTACTGCCCCTTGTTGATTGTCTTAATCCATTTGGGGCTACTATCACAAAATACCTGACACTGGGGTATTTATTTAAAAAAAAGGTGTTTATTTTGCTCACCATTCTGGGGAATGAAGCGTTCCCACAACATGGTCTTGGAATCCTGGCAGAAGCATTCCCTGGCTGTGTCACAACAGATCAAGTGGCAAGATGTGATAGAAGTATATTCCAGAGGAGGAAAAGAAGCCAAGATGGGGGTCTGGTGCCCTCTTCTATAACAAGTCCCCCAGGGGAGCAACCTAGTCCCAAGAGCCCTGACCCACTACCATGTGGTGGCACTAGCTCTTTAATGAGTCCGGATCCCCTGTGACATAATCACTTCCTCTAGGCCCCACCTCTTAGGAATCTGGCACCTTAATAACTCTTGTGTTGGGGACCATGCTTGCACTCTGAGACCTTGCAGGGACAAGCCAGAGGAGTGTAAGAACAGCCAGGAGCTCCTCTTTTTGTGAGAGCTGAGTGCATTTCCTCCCTGTGAAGGGCTGTGCACAAGTCCTTGTCCTAGAAGCCATCCTGAGGATGCTCGAAGGTGCAGTCCTCGGCCCATGGGCTCAGCACCCTTTGCTGTACAAAACTTATGTAGGTGGGCTTGGCGGCTGCCCCAGTCTTCCCAGGGCAGGTACTCTGCTTCCTCCATCCTCTCCCCAGCCTGTTGATCTACACTCAACATCTTTCCTTTGCCTTCTAGAAACTCTCAGACCAGGGCTCTTAGATATGGTTTCTGCTGTGTCATCCTTATCAAAGCAAAGAGATGTCCAGATGCCATCTGGAAGGGTCCCCAAGCAAGGGAATGCCAGGAACCAACTATCTTTTGTTCATTCGTCTTTAAAAGTTAGGCTCCTGTGATAGACACCCAGGCAAGGGGAGAGTCAGCCAACCAGGCCATGGGTGCTGGGGCTCCTTTTCTCTCTCTAGCATCTGTCAGCCTCCCACCCCCTTGGGGGACCAGTGGTTTCTCCTTGTGTGTGTTTGCGCTTGCGTGTGCATGTGTTGCTGGGAGAGGGAGCTGCCACAGAGAAAAGATAAACTGGAGGCAGCAGTATCTTCCTGTCTTAGGAGGAGAAGGACAGCATTGACAGTTCATTGCCCAGCATACACTAGTACTGACTGATGGAATATATCGTCATGTGAGCAATGGGCCAAGGACCAAGTGGAATGAAGGCCTTTAGGTCATGCTGGCAATCCACCATGTCTGGGTAGGCCCTGAAGGCCAGGGCTGCTGTCAGAGGGATCACTGGAAGGTTGGTCCAGGACCTTTTGGGAGCTTGTTATTGGTCAGAGCTCCCTGGGAAAGACAGGCATGTCAGGACCAGAGTTTAGCCAGTGTTAAGGTCATAACCACTGTGAAGAAAATGGGGGTGTCTTCATAATTGGTGAGGTAGAATATCTGCTTGGATGATGACTCCCATAGGGATACGGAAGAGCAGAGATGGCAGCCAGGCCAAGCTTCATCTAGTCCAAGGGCTGAGGGCGGCCGACCCCACTGCCTTGGTGCACCTGTTACGTCCTGAGGAGCTGGAGCAGACCTGAGGTGGGTTTCAAGGAACTGGACTGCTTGGAGTGGCTGACCCATCTCTCTGCTCCTGGGCTTTGGGACCTCTCTACCAAGGGCTGGGTTGTGGAGAAGGTGTTCTAAAAGATAATGTCCAAGAAGTCAGTCCTGCTGATAGCTAACCTTGGTTGTCCTCGTCTTACCGTGGGAAGAGAGAATCACAATTGTGGATTACCTCTATCAGGTTGGCATGTCTATGGGCATGTCTGTAGGACATTTTCTTGACAGCTAGTTGATGGAGGAAATCCTAGCCCTCTCCTAGGCTGTGTAAGGAAGCAAGCCAATAAGCAGAGATCCTCCATGGTCCTTCCTCCAGGATCCTATCTTGATTCTGATGAGAGCCTAAAACCTCTAAGCCAAATAAACCCTTCCCTGACCAAGTTGGTTTTGGTTAGTCTTTTATCACAGCAGCAGGAGAGCAAACGGGGGACCCCTCCCCACAAAAATCATCAGGATAAGAATAATATCAGCAACCATCATTATCATGCCTGAGCTGAAATTGGCATCTCCAAAGCATTATTTTCAAGCCCCCTTGCTTCGGATGGGCCTGGAACACATGGTTTGACTGAACAGCTATGCCAGGTTGGCAGCACAGCTGCCTTGGAGAAGTCATCAGGCTGGCAGGTGGCTTCCCTGATGACCTGGGCCCCTATATGCCTTCTCTCAGTACACCCAGGTGACCCAGGGATGGCCCCAACTCTTAGTTTCTCAAGAGAAACTGGGTGTTCTTGGTGGTTTTTAACGTGAAACCTTCCAAGTTTCAAATGCTGTCAACTAAATTAGGTACTGTCTAAAAAATACCTGTGGCCCCAAGGAGTACCTCTTCAGTCTGCTATTCCCCTGGGGCTGCCTGTGTGTGACCCTGAGCAAGACAGTGGCAGAAGGTGGTGTCTAACTCCTTCCCCAGGGGAGGAGTTTTTCTGTGGAAATTACCATCTTTGCTTCCCAAGGTGGCTCTGAAGGTGAGCTGTCCCTGCTCGCTGAAAATGCAAAGAAGTAAATGCATGAAAATAGAGCCGCAATCCCTCAAGCCTTGTGTCAGGTTTAAGTCCCAGGCGGCTCCTCTGGAAGCATCAGGATGGCCCTGAATCATCTCCAGGCAGCTGAGCGGAGCAGCACTTAGCTCTGCACGGGGCAACTTCCTGCAGGACTGTCCCATTCCCCATGCCTAGAGTAGCCCTGGGCAGGATCGACTGTTTGTGCATGTGTGCATGGGTGCATTGCATGCACGCATGACCATAAGGCTATGTACTATAGATGTTCATTTGTGTGTTTGAACATATACAGTGTTTGTACCTGCAGGTTTATATACATATGTTATACGTAGAGAAAGTGTGTGTGTGTGTGTGTGTGTGTGTGTTATTATCAGTTTGTAGTATTAAAGGTAAACTTGAGGGCATGAACCGTCTGTCTGGTTGTCTGCCACATAAGGGTTCCTCATCTGTAAAACGGAGACTGAAGGTACCCACTGTGTGACTGCGTGAAGAGGTTTCCTGGGTGAAGAGGGTGGGGTAAGGACAGAACTATAAGCCAAGCTGTCTTGTATCTTCAGGAATGGCTACCCTCTGACGTTTGGTCTCGCCAGTGTGAACCAGAGGGAAATCAAGGCAGACAGCATAGCTGGAGGGTCAGTGGGCATGGCATCCTGGGCTCTGGTCCTGTTGGTGCAGACCCTTGCCCTCGGACTATACTTCTCAGTATAATCGGTGCATAGCCAGGTCCTGGCCATCTGCGGGCAGTTGGTTGATTCTCTCCCAAGACACACTGTGGGAGGTGTGATGAGAGGGACTTACATGGGTCCCTGAGCAATCCCATCAGCACCGGGGTTGGGGGCAGAGTTCTCCCGGTGGAGAAGGGGTCAGACATTGAAGTCCTGACCCAGGATATGCATATGGTCCATTCCTTGAAAGTTCTGGAGCTAGTTCTGGAAGGAGAGCTAGGCGTGAGGAGACACCGTGTGACACATACAGTCTGTGCTGAGCCTCAGTTTCCCCAGTTTTGTTTGCATTTTCAGTCTTGCCCCCTCTGGACTTCCATCTGTTCTGTGAATGGGCACAGTGCTTTGGTTCAGGGCGCTGTGAGTTTTAAATGACGTAGTGGTCACTTGGATGCCACCCGTAAGCCTGGCTGGTGTCCGAGTTGTACCCAGATGGGTTCTATCTTTCTGTGATGCCCCTGGGGAGGGGGTGCTGGGCTGCTACCAAAGAAGGTGTCCTCTCCTTCCAGGAGCCTCCCGGGGCAGCCTGGAGAGCCTCAGCCGAGCCCTGGGCGTCCTGGAGGAGCACATCACCAGCTCCCGGCGGAGGGTGCGCAGGCACGCCACCGACGATGACTACAACATCGAGGTCCTGCTGGGCGTGGATGACTCAGTGGTCCAGTTCCACGGGACGGAGCACGTGCAGAAGTACCTGCTGACACTCATGAACATTGTGAGTCAAGGCTGGGGCGGGGGGTAAGGGACTAGGAGTGGAACTGGTCTCTGGGAGGCAGGACTTGCGTAGGCAGGGAAATCAGGCTTGGGTGGGGATTAGGCAGTGGCTGGGTGGGTCTTTGGGTGGGCCCATTAGAGAGTAGAATGTGGCAAACTGGGCTGGAAGATGTCACCTGGGAAGTGGGTCTTAGGATGCCCGTGAGAGATTATCTTGATTATTAAGGGGGGAAGACTCCACCATTATGGGCAGTACCTCCCCCTGGTAAGTGGAGAGAAGGAGCCGAGCAGCAGCATCCATCTCTCTGCTTCCTGACTGTGGATGTCATGTGACCAGCTGAGCTCTGCCATGCGTCCATCCCTCTCTGCTTCCTCATTGTTGGTGGTGTGACCAGCTTCCCCAAGCTTCTGCCTTGATTTCCCCCACTGTGACTGACTGTGCTCTTGAATAAACACTTTATTACTTCAGTGACTTTTGCCAGAGTCTATTATCACAGTGGGAAAAAGAAACTAAGACAGAAGGGCCCTGGAGGGCTGGACTGGACTCTAGGGTTGGGCCTTAAGGGGCAGAGCCGAGCTCACAGTCTGAGATCTTCTCTGTTCTGGATGGTGGGCTCTCCAAAGCCTTGCTAGAAGACTAGCAGTTGGAGGAAGGACTAGACTGTGACCATGGCTGTGCCTCTCAAGTGGAACATGAGAAGGGGCTGCTTTGTGGGAGGATGGTAGGCTTAACAGAGCACTACAGTGAGCAAGGTCCTCCCAGGACCACCCTGGAGGTGGGTGGACAGACATGCAGAAATGGGCTCTGCTCCTGGGAGCTAAGGTGGCAGCACCTAGGTTTGCCTCTGGAGGACCCTGGTGAGAGTATGTGGGTGAGCTGAGCCCCGGAAAGAGATTGCCATCCGAGTGGGCTCACTCCTTTAAGTTGTCCTGGTTACATCCTTGGCTCCCTGAACTTCTACCTTTCCTTGCAAAAGTCTTTGCATTTGTACATTTTATTTTAGGAAATGTTAATCTCATATTAATTTTTGAAAAGTACCTTTAATTTAATAACAACACAACCATAATCATGGAAATGAACAAACCCCTAAGATATGGCTGCAATAATAATAGTAGCAACAACAATAAATAAAACCGTAATGGTTGCAATTAATGATCTGCCAATGTGTGGCTGTGTGCCAGGCCCAGGCTAGCCACTTTCGGTGCAATAGCTTAGGAAACACTCACACTAAGCCTGTAAGCCCGGTAGATATGCAGACCTCACCAGCCTCCAGAATACGTGTTCTTCCCGTAGTTCCACTGCTGCCCAGCTCATAGGGAAAGGTGGGTCTTGTCATTAAAAAGACTAGGTGTGTCCGTGGGAATGAGGTTCCAGTCCTCTGAGCCTTGGTGTTCCCATCATTAAAATGGGTCAGTTCCCTTGCACCCCGTAGGGTAGTTTAAATGGCATAATGGAAGTGAATGAGCTTTGTCTGTCTCTACGTAAGGTAACGGTAGTTTCAATCTCCAGATAAAATGTAGCTTTGCTCACGCAGCAGTCGCAACAGCACAGAGAGCATCATTCCTAAGGAGTCTGTGGGTGGCCCTGCCTGAATGTGGGGCTCTCAGCAGGACTTCTTCCTGGGTCAGGTGCATGAAAATCCTCCTTTTCCCTGGTGGAGGGCTCCTGTGTCACAGGGCTCTCTGGAGGTCATCGAAAACTTTCCCCAAGTTTTGACCACAGGCGTTCATTCATTCATTCATTCATTCATTCATTCCTGCACACCCCTGTGACCCCACTGTAGCTCTATTTTGAATAAGGACAACAAGATGGTTTTGTTTCTAGAAAAACCCCAGAACCATAAGAATGTTTTAAATGAATCCTGTCTCATCATCACAACAACAAGAAGAGAACTTCAGGCGATCAACCCGAGGTGTTGAGAAAGGCTGTCTGGGTCACATCTGTTTGCCTTGTCACACAGATGTACACTTGTGCACACAGCAAGTGTTTATTGGCCAAGTGCTTGTCCTTGTGGGTGGGGTGGTGAGTCTGTCAGAAGACAAGGGTGAGGCACTCCTGGGGCTCGGTGAGGCTCTGGGGTGCGAGGTGGCTCACCCCTCATCCACTCTTCTGCTTCAAGAGTTCCTTGTGGACGGGGAAGATAAGGTTCTGCCCACGCTAGGAGCAGAGACTGCACTAACAGCTGGTGCCCTGTCTTTAGAGCTGGGAAAGGGACTGGTGGATACTCTGGTGGCCTTGGAGAGGAGGAACAATGAAGACACACATACAAAGGGACAACCTTCCAGAACGCTGCTGCGTGACAGAACTTTCTGTAGCTGTCCTTCTGGCCTTTGAAATATTGCAGACACTGGCCAGGCTGAATCTTGAGCTCTTGAAATCTGTCCAGGGAGAGGAAAGAACTGACCAGTTTTTTTTTTTAACCCAATAGAATTTAAGGTTTAATTAAAAGCATTTTGTTGTGATAAAATATAAGCTAGGCCAGGGGCTGGGAAGATGACTCAGTGGGTATAGTGCCTGCCACATAAACACTAGGACCTGAGTTTCATTTCCCAGCACAGATGTAAAAAGTTGGGTGCAGTGGTACACACCCACAGTCCCAGTTTAGCTGGACCAGTGAGCTCCAGGGTCAGGGAGAGATGATCTCAAAAAGTAAGACAGAAAGCAGAAGTCATAGAGCAGGGTACCTGACTTCCTTCTCTGGCCTTTCTGCTCACACAAGGGCCTGCCCCCCCCCCCCCCCGCAAGTGTGTGCACATAACCGCACATGCCCACAGAGTTGCACACCCTCAAAAATAAATGAGTGATTTAGGAAGATGCTCGACAGCTGACCTCCATGTGCACACAAATGTGCATTTGCTCACGCACACTCCAAATAAAGGAGGGGGTGGGCACAGAATGATGCACCTGCTGGCACAAGTCTATAGTCCCAGCTACCTGGGAAGCTGAGGCAGGAAGATTTCAAGTTCAAGACCAGATCTGGCAGCTTAATGAGCTCTTGTTCACAAAAAGGAAAAGAGAGCTAGGAATACAGAGATGTGTGGTGGAGAGCTTGCCAAGCATGTGACAGTCCTAGAGCCAGGCACAGGTCATCGTCACCATTTAAAGTGCACAGCTTGTGACATTAAGGACATTCTCATGGAAGTACAAAGGTCACACTATCCACACACGGGACTCTTTTCAACTTTTAAAGCTGAACCTCCCACCGTTAAACACTCATTTCTCACCTGATCCCCTGGAGCCTGACTATGATTCTTCTGATTTTAATCTCTAAATCTGACTGCTCCAGACCTCAGTATCGGTGAGACTGTATGATATTTGTCCTTTGGGAACCAGCTTATTTAATTGACTGTGATAGTTACATTGTAACGTGTTGGAATACCGTGTGTGTGCATCTGTCTGTCTATGGTGTGTGTTATTTTGCCTTGTTTTTGATACAGGTCTTGCTGGGAATCTCAGGCTAACCTTGAACTTGTAATTCTCCTGCCTCCATCCTGCTGAGTGCTGGGATCCCAAGTACGCATCTCCATGCCCAACCTTCCCTCCCTTCCTGAGGCTCATCAGAGCCATAGTATACCTAGACAGGTTTTGCTCATCCATTGATGGGCACCTGGGCAGCCTCCGCCTCCCGGCTCTTGGGAATAAGGCTGCTGGGAGCTTGGGTTATAGATTCCTGTTCCCCTCTCTGTTTTGCATTCCTTTGGCTGCAGACCCAGGAGTAGAAAGGCTGAATCATGTGGTAATTCTATGTTTAACTTTTAAGAAACCACCACGCTGCTTTCCACAGCCGCTGGATCATCGTATGTTCCTACCAACAATGCATGAGGGTTCCCAGTTCTCCACAGCCCACGGCACTTGTCATCTTGATGGCAGCCTTGCTAATGGGGCCATGACTTGTAATTAATCTGATGTTTAAGTTGCCTGTGTGGCCAGTGGCAACTGCCCTGAGCACTGCATGGTGGGAAAGCCTGCTGTGTGCTCCTATGAACTTGAAGCTGACCACTAAGGAAGCTTGGGCAGCTCTGGGTGTGTGGACCTCAAGCCACAACCCCCAAAGCCTGGCCGGTAGCTTGTTATGATCCCCTTGTTAAGTCTACAGCTGGTCCTGGATGTAGTTTGGTTGAGGGAGTGCCTGTCTAGATGTGGCATTGGGTGAGGTCCAGCCGCACTCTGGATCAGGTGACCATCGACAGTAATAGCAGGTTGGTAGAGATGACTCCGTGGCTGAAGGGCAGCCTGGACAGCAAGCTGCCCCCTGAGCTGGGTGTTGTATGAAAGACCTTTCTCGGGGTTATGCGACACATGTACATGTTGATTCATCCCCAAGGGGAACTACACCAAAGGCCGAGTTGGGGAACCAGTGAGTTTTTTATCAGGGTTACTAACTAGTGTATGGGTGAGAGGTCACATATAGGAGTGGACATGACTCAGATCAGCAGCTGTATCCCCCCAAAAGGCTCCACCTCCCAATGGGCTCTGTAACTTCCTCAAGCACATGTGCCTGGGGCGACATCACATTCAGCTCACAACAGAAAGTGAGAATTTGTGGGTCTCTCTCCACTCCCTGCTTCATCTCAGACCCCCTGGTGGGTGAGGGTTGGGGGTATCTGCCGAGCACTTCACAGGACCCTCTTACCCACGGATACCACCTACCAACTCATTCCCTACCAGCCAGATCCATTTTCCCCGATTCCCTCCCTAAATTCAGAAAAGTAATTTTTTTCAGTTCATTAAAACATCCTATATTTAACACAGATAATATATTATTTATGCCATAAGATTAGAATGAGCTCATATAGATCTCTCCATCTTTTCTCCCAGGAGCTCCTCTCCACGACTTCATTTTAATGAGTGTGGAGTTGCCATGGGGAGCGTGTGCTTTTTATGTAACTTATTATTTATATGACACACCCGTGGGATAAAACTTGCTTCCTCTTTAGAGGTCAGCGACACCACCTACTATTTTGCATCCACATCGCCGAATCTGTCCCTCATCCTTAAGC